CATATGCCCCTAGTGTCTAATAGAATGTGAATTTCAAATTGTAAAATAAATGGAAAGTGCTATTTTTGCAGGGTATATCCTTGACCCAAAAAATAGATTGATTATGTGATCAGCTTTAACTTCTTAAAAACAACTTAAAATCTAACTTTACCTAGAAATAGTTAAATACTTTCCATTCTATGGAATACAAAGCTCATTTGTAGCTTACTGTTTGCAATGAGTAAAATTAATATTGTATTATGTAATGTAATCTTCAAAAATTATGAAGGGCCTTAGAACTCCTCTCCCAACTAAAGAAACACATTAAAGGGGATGGCTTAGTCCAAATTACACCCTACCGGTACTGTTAATGACAGGGATGGATTTACTGGGGGGTGGGGGGTGCACCCCCCTAGCCCTGGCCAGAGGGTGTGTGTTATTTTTCATGATAAAGCAAAAAAATACTAGAGGCACATTAAGATACAGTAATTTGAGTAATAAGATGATGATAAGCGAACTGTGAACAACAATTACAATTCAAATACAGTAGTCAAGCAAGATTTTGCAGTAGTGAAGCAGGTTGATGGGTGGGCGGCACACATGACCGACACAACTCAGCACCAGAGCTGGTAGAGCACCCCCCCCCCTACCAGATCATGCTGGATCCATCCCTGGTTAATGACAAACATGAGATTGATCATAAAGTTTGTCTCCACTATGTGTTCTTTTATGTCTTGCTGAAGTACTTGAATATCTGAATTCTTTACAGATATGATATTCATATAAGGTTTTACTCTATTATGTGTTCTTTTATGTGACAATAACTAAATTGTTTGATGTTGAATAATGTTTGTTACACATCTTAGCAAGCCTCTTATACAGGATGTGCTTGTCTGTATCATGATTTGTTGCAGTGTATGTTGTTTAAACAAATTTGCCCATGTTAATTGGTATGTTTGCCAGAATCATAATATTTTTTCACAATGTGAACATGGCATTCTTACATTCATAAGGTAATTGTGAGTGTGGTGGTCAAAATGGAAGCAATATTGTTCCACTATTCAGTTATAGCACTTTACTTTTTATAATTTATATCAATTATATGATAAAATATCGTACGTCTGGCAGTTTAACTTTTTAAAACTGCTAATAATCAACCTATTAGAATGCTGTCAATGCATTGTGACTACATTGGCATGTATTATCCTGCTTACATAATATCATCTTCATCAAGCCAAGTAATTATTTAATCGTAGCTTGCCAACTTGAGTAAAATTGTTAAATGAACAACTCGGTAGATAAGACTTACATTAACTTTTATAACTATGTTTGAGAAAAATTCTGTCATAAAATCTTTTTTCAGATAAAGAGTAAGATACCTGGCATTTCAGAATATAAGTTCTACCAACCAAAAAGAATAAAAAGATCAAGAAACAACAATAGAGATTATAGAATATAAACTCCATTTAAACTCCACTCCTTAGCTTGGCGCCATATTGAATTTCGCGGTCGCGCTGGTAAAGGCCTGGGGACTAGGTGCTCTGCATTGAACTATAAATAAACTGGAAGGCTAACTCAGGGGGGGAAAATGCAACCTCGTCCCCAGGGCCTTTTCAGGAAGGAGGCGAAGGGCAGCAAAGGCCCTGGCACAGAATAGATAATAGGACCAGAAGTCTCACTCAAGCGGAAACATGTCCCATCTTTTATACTGCGCATGCGCGAGCTAAACAAGTGTAATGCAGTGTTGACAATAGAAAATTATATTGGGAAGTTGTCATTTCTACAGTAAAAACAGCTTTTTTTCAAGTAGTACGAAATGTGACTTCGATTTATCTGTGGAACTATTTAAACAGAAGGTAAAGCAGTAATTTTGTTGTATTTAGAAAGCAAACAGGGTCATATTTTTAAAAATATAGCGCACTGAATATAAATTTGAGCATCATTAAAATGTGTTCGCTATGATGCCATTTTGTCTCCGGTATATACGGAGTTCTGCTTTTATACTTGTGGATATTCGAATGTATTTGGCTCAAAAAGACCATTACTTCAATATCCCTTTCTTGTTTTTCCTTGGATAGGTTTTAACAAGATAGAACTCTAGATCACTTGGGTCCAAAGACGCTAGATTATAAAATCCTGATGTGACTTGATGCTACAAATAGAATATGTCTTATGATTTAATACTACAAATAGAATGTATTTTAATTACAAACTTCAATGAATTGATAAAGTGTAAGGATAGTGTTTAAAGTCGCTTCATGTGTAGAAGCTGAATTTAGTTTATACACTGTATTGTCGAGATCACATGTTGATATGACTTAGTAGCAACTTGCATAAGTGGTCTGTACTCTGTTCTGCTTGGACATTAGAACATTGTAATTGCCTGACAGAGACTGTTAGGGCCTGTTTGTATGGAAGCCGGGCTGGCCTGCTTAGCAAGACAGCCCGGTAAGGTAGGTAAGCAGGATGATTTCTCTTGTGTTTATTTGAGAAAATTTCATCCCACTTACCGGGACAATTTTGTTGTTTTGACATTATTTTGACAGTTGTTAAAAATAGCTTGCGGCAGTATCTTTGAACTTTCATCCCGGAAACCGGGCTAGCCTGCTTATGATTGTTTATGTGAGATTCGAAATTTCCATCCTGATCTTGGCAACCGGGCCTGCCCGCTTGTCCATAGAAATGATAATTTTTACTATAAAAATAACTAGACAGCGAGATCTCACTTACCGGGCTGTCTCACTTAGCAGGCCAGCCAGTTTCGATATAAACAGGCCCTTAGACAACTGCTAAAAGCTGCAAGTTTCTTTAAAGCAATATCATCTATATCACAGAATACAGTTTCTGTAGTGATATACTTCATGTTTTTTTCTGTCTTTAAAGTGTCTTATGTTTGTAATATTTTTGTACAATACCTTTTTGAAATTGTTGATACTGGTCTCATTGTAACTCAGTTATTCCTTCTCAAGAAAAATAAAAAAACAAAGCTGTGTGGGTGTGTTTTTGCTCTAGCTAGTTTTTACATTTACATGGTTCATGTACAATTAATGTACATTTAAATTAGCTTTGTTCAATGAATACAGGTGTGATTCAAATATCATTCCTGTCAGGTACTTGGGTCAAATAGACATAAGCATACCAAATCATGCTGTGAATTGAAATACAAGTATAGGGTGTGTATTGTTTAATAAATATATTTTCCAGTTAACCCAGTGAGCTGCATTGTGCCCCAATGCACCCTACTTTACTAGTTTATTTCACTTCATCTAATGCCAGATGATTTTACTTATCGAGGGAGAGTGCTGCTGCTCATTCAGCTCTGATTGAGTTCACTGAGTAGCAGCAATTTCCCCTTGACGAGTGAAATTGTCTGGCGTTAGACAGAGTAAAATAATCTTGCGTTCAATCAAGCAGCTACTTTTTCAAAAGCTCAACCAGGCTAAAGATTTTTTTATTTGAAAACCAAAGTGATAGTGAACTAGTTAGTTGAAACAAACAGAATTGTTTGATTTATTTATTTTCCACAACATTGACAATTAAAATTTAATTTGATACTTTTCCAGTATATTGATGACATTATATAGGTTCATATTTGACTACCATTACCATTAAGGGACCATCAACCAATCAAATGCATTTGATATCTTCGATCAACCATTATAATGAAAGTGTGAGTTTATTCATAAACTAATTATAAACCAACTTCCATGCAATACTTCATGCAATCATCTAGTTATGCACCAGTCAATGTAAATCCCTGCCCCCAACCGGGGAGGGGCGGGAGGTTTAGAGGGGAAAGTGGTCAGTTTTGATTATAAATTTGTCCCGATGATGGATGACTTGGACGGTGGTTAACATATATATCCTGCGTTGCTGTTTTAGTTTTCTTGACAAGAAAAGTTTAAATACAACAACATAAATGAATTTGATTTTCTATTGCTGATCTATGATAATTTCGCTCGTTATGGGTGGGGATAATTTCGCTCTTTTACTACCCCTCCAAGTCAAAATCCCTGCCCCTCCCCGGTTGGGGGGTTTACATTGACTGGTGCATTAATTAAAGAAGTGTCAGTGCCACATATGTAGTAAAAGCCAACTTGTCAGTAAAGGCCACAGAGCAAGATTGTATTTCAAAGACTGCCAGTGACAAAAACAATTGATAGTCCTGAAATAGAGTATGCCAACAGTTAGTATACTGCAAATAACTATTCTATCAACAAGATGGGTGTGTTTTACAAGTGTTTTTTATATATCAATCCAATGGCATGTAACCTAAAATTCAGCAGTGTCTGTGTAATGAAATACACCCTTACTTCTCAATGGTCAAATTAACTATACTACATTGTGTATAACAATATATGGACTGGTTCAAAAATATATTGAATTTATAGGGAGCATTCATTTTTTAGCTGGGGGGGGGGCAGGAGGAATTTGGGGGTGGGTCAGCCAATTTTGACATGCTTCAAAGGGGTGGGTCTTTTTATAGTTTTGGTATAAATGGAGGGGGTCATAAAAATCAGTGAAAAAATCACCAATATAATTTTATAGAATTTGGAAATATTTGGATCAAGAATGGTAAAAAGGTCTAGAATCTATCAACTATCTCGTCATCTATAACAATGAAGCAAAACTCATTTGATGCTCTGTTCACACATTCCATAGGAAAACATTTCCATGACGTTCGTCAATTGACCTCGTTTTTATCCGTTTTTGTGTGAAAACATGAATGAAAGAAAACGCAGGACCGTAGCATGATTTCAAAATCATGCATGGTTTCAAGGTCTGCATTAATAGTTAGGATGAGGGGTCAAAAAATTTTCAGTAAAAAAATAGGGGGTCATAATTTTATATCAACTTTTGTCTTGGGGGTTCCAAGTTTTCGCATGGAATTAGACATCAGTTCCTCCGCCCCCCCCCCCAGCTACAAAAATAGGTACGCGACCGCGTACATGTATCTGCGCATTAAAGGTCCAGACACGCCGGACGCGATTCGACAACGCGACGCGATTTTTCGATTTTCACTGACCGTTAAATTTAATCCAAGTTTAAATATTCCAAATATTTAGAAGCGCTATAACATTCTAAGTTACTTGGTCTACATATGTTTGTAACTGATTTGCTCTCATTGGCTGTTTTTCAAACTAATTATACTGAAAAATCGCGTCGCGTTGTCGAAGCGCGTCCGGTGTGTCTGAATCTTAAGGTCTGATTCCACGACGGCGAAATTCGTCACGAGAGCTTGTGTCTGCGAAATACGGTGGTTGCACATGAGCGATTGCATTGAATTGTCCCACTTTGTCCGCTTTCGCAGTAAGTAGAAATGTTTCGCATTCATTGATGGTGCATTCTCGAAATGACATTTTTACAGCAATTGTGCGAAATTGTGCTAGTTGAAATTATATGCCTGCTTCAGATATAATATTTACATTTAACTAGTGACTTCTATAAAATTAAGAGGACGAGAACCATTTATATCCCGAATCACGGCAACTGATAACAATCATACAAAAATGTTTCTTTTTATCTGGAGCTAAATATCTGCTATTCATACAGTTCATTACTTTTAAGAACAATTTAAAGAAAATAATTAATTAAGGCTGTAAAATGTGTGGATTTATTAAAGACGTGGGATTAGACGTCTGTACATGGAGTCATGAGCTAATAATAGTTTCTGACATTTAAAACAACAGGGCTACGTTTATCCTATGCTTTATTTTCATAGTTTAGCCTAGTTTCAGAGGCCTCCATTAAATAACAGTCAAGATATATACGCAAATATAATTTGCGTGTCTATTTAAAATTTGTAATTGTTTCGTGAAGATTCAACCATAAAACAATTGCCGGAAATGCAGGTCCTGTTTACAAAAACTCAGGGAAAACCCGTGCGGTATGAAATGCATGGCGTAAACATGTCAATCAAATATCTATAAATATGACGTTTTATAATTGCACAGTACATCGTGTACGTTCTTGTTGTAGAACTTGTGTTGCTCCAAATCGAGTATGAAGTAAAATCAGGAGCATACTGTCACAGGCTAATTTTGTATTTTAATACCTCTGGAAATATCAAGGCTTTGGTACCCCTATCTATCACAAAACTGAGTAACAAATCCAAAACGAAGTATGAGGACTAATATTTTTATATATATCATTTCACAGATTAAAAGTATTATTCAAGAAATATGTCCATTTTGATCTTAACGTGATACAAAAATACTAAATAACATGCAAAATTCAGTGCCAAAGAGGGATTTATTTTGCGGTAGTTAAATATGTAAACATATGTTCTCAAACTGGCAGAGTTTAATACCAATTAAAGCTCGCAATGCTATATATTTGGTTTGATACGAAGATAAAATAGTAAATACTCATAATAATTACAATATGTCCATGACCTTACTAAAAAATTTAGATTATTAAATCACATAATGGAACAACTTGCAATTTGCTACGCTCACTCGTTAGCAATAGTTCTCTTCAACACTCGAAATAAATTACATATTTCCGCACAACCATGTATAAATATCCTCTATACATTCCAGTTTACCTTTAATTTGTCAAGTGGTAGGCACAATATTAGTCCTTTTGATTTGTTATTCCCTTTCCCCAACACGGGAGTGATAGGAGCTTGAAAAAATGACAGTTGAATACTTGCGTGTAATTTGCTCGGAGCAATTTGCAATCAACATTGCAAGATTGATTGCAATGTTGCAATACTCATGGGAACAAAACATCCGGTTTGACTGTAAGAGTTATATCAAAAAGACTGCTATAGAAGAAGATTTTATCAAAATAAAGTCAGGATAAAGTCTATTAATAGTTTAATACCACGATTACTAATGATTACTACTTTCAGCTTTCACATGCGGCTAAATCGAGGAATGCACATTTGCCCGACGCCATCTTGAATCTGGGGACATCTGTGGTTATCTTATGATAATAATGAATTAGTAAAATGGTTATCCATTAAAGTGCTCATGTATCCCTTGTCTACATCGTAGTTTATTTCTATTGTCAGCTAGGAAGTAAACACGCGACAAAAAGTTCTCTTTATTAAATTGACTAGAGATACTTACTATGAAAAGATGCTGATTTTTATGGCAAATTCAATGTGTTCTCCGATTTTCTATCTACTCTGTGCACAAATTCCTATAGTAGGGTAAAGACTCGAGTTTTAGAGTATTAAACGGCGAATATCTCGGTTCAGTTTTTGAATGAAAAAGGAAAACTAGGGCTGTTGATACAGAATTTCATGCAGAATCGAAGGGTATTTTCGGAATTTCCATCTACCGTGCACACAACTATGTGCTCACTATACGAAAGTAAATTTGCGTGCCAGAGACGAAGTGTCGATTAATGCATACAAATCACTGTGAAAAATGTCGATGCGCGAAATGCTGTTATTTTATATTTTCGATCGGTTAATTTCCCTTTATCTGAAATCAAAAGCTAAAATAAGTCATTATAATATGATTATTTATGATTTAAAAGTGTATTTATTGTGATTTTTGCTGCTGTAAACTAGCTTTATTTATATACAGAATACATAACAATTTAGTATTTAGGCATGTGCGAGCGACAATTATCCAATCAGAATCCAATATTTTCATTTTCCCGCGAATACGTTTGTTTTGATTACATCATTCATGATAGATACTATGACATCATAACTGAGACCCAGGTCATTGCGCGGAATTCAAGATGGCGTCGGGCAAATGTGCATTCCTCGATTTAGCCGCTAGTAAG